AGTCTTGTTGCTCTTATGAACCACGGGCCACGAAAGCGTGTCTTTTTTTGTTGCTTTCGTAGATGTTTGGCGCCATCCCAGGGACATCGACTTTTTTCTTGGTTAAGGAGACACCTATTTAGTTATTCTTCAAGCCGGAACATCGATTTAGATTCTTTCTATTGGGATTTTCTGCGGTGATGTCAAATAAACGTGTATACATTTAATTGGTACATGCTAATATGTGTTTCAACTTATGTAGTTTTTAATTCACAGCTGCTCAAGTTCAAAAATGCACGAGAATTAACATAGCTCTCATATATTTAATTACCTAACATATATTTAATATACCTAACATATATTTAATAAAATATTTGAATATTTAAGTACATGAAGCTTAATTAAATAACTGCTTGCTTTGATATTAAAAAAGAAAAAAAAAATAGTGGATTGATATTTTCTAGCCTTTATGTACAAGAGCAAATTTTTTACTTCAGATCTTTGTGTCTGGAATATTATATCACGTGCAGCGACTTACAAAAGTATCGAAACATTTATTTAATACACATTTCGTATGTTGTGCAACATTTTGAAATTTTATTAATACTCTAACGAAAGGAAACTGTTATTACATTGTTAAACCAATCTATAAAAGTTACAAGATATTTACGTGAAAGCAAATTATTTTGAATTCAAGTGTTAAAAATAGCTAAATATTAACATAACAGATAGTGGCTATCGTAATACTTTTATCATTTTCATTTCTACGTTTGTATCCAACTTCATCAATGTCTCATTATAGCGTTAATCAAGTGTCAAAATGTTTTATATGACATATGTATACAACATGTATATTTATAAAAAGTTTCTACATATGATCAAAAACTTCATCCGATGTCAATCAACTATATTTGTTTTGGAAATTACGTTGCTAAATGTATTTAAATATTGTACGATAATAATTGCACGAAATAAAACACGTATACGTATAATATACATGTATAATATGGATACATTATTAATTAGACGTGTATTTTTAATACACGCTCAAAATCACACAAACTCTGCCTTTCAAACGCTCGAAGATATCTATAGAACAGTATCAAGCTGATGTTTCTAAAAATATCTCTTAATCAACGAAGCGACTAACATCCAGTCTAAGTCACGACCCAACATCTTTTTTTACTTAAAATACTTCAGAGAGACTTCGAGATAAGCCGTCACTTCATCAAATATGACCTAATATAAACAGCAAAAAACGCAAGTAAATGCAAGCGTACATATGTCGCGCAGCTAACGAAGCCCAAAAACTAACCCCTTTTCGAGTGTTGAATCCTCACGCTCGAAAAACATCGACAATTTTATTTTTCTGTCGTCGTCAACGGAGACTGGATCGCCGAAAGGCAAATACGTGGCAAGTTTAACTGATAATTTGTGCGTGGGGCGGGTTAAGCAATTACGAAGGAAGTTATTTCCGGCCGTTGATGATTTTCGCCAGGACTTCGCGAACAATCCGAAGTTTCCGGGAGGTTGGGCCGTGGTTCGAATTCCCGGCGCTAAGTTTCAAATTAGGGTGGAGAGGCTAGGGTGGAAACCTCTGGCCTAGTGCCTCGTCATTACGACACTCGCGGCGAGAAGAGAGGCGGAACACCGGAGAGAGGGTTAATAATTTCGTAATAACTGAAGGAGCGATCGTCGCCAGAGTGGACAGATTACGCGTGTCAGCTAACCACCCACCCCCCTAACCTCTCACATCTAGGCCACACGCTGCGTCGCGTAAACGGGGCCTCCTCTCGTTCGCTGTAATTTTCTTCGATCGGGATAATCGCCTTCCTAATGACAGGTCATTTTCGACAGTGCGATTCCGCGTTTCGAGCCGTTAAGTCGCGCCTGCTTCGCATTGTTCCCGTCGCCCACGAAGCGAATAAATATTTACAAGCGCGCGGCGCGTAGGGTCATCTACATTGAAAAGGTGTCGCGACTACCCCGACGAGCATTCTTTTTCGACGCGGGGAAAATAAAGCGGCGATACAACGCGGGCGAGTTTTGTTCAACTGTGCTCGAAAACAATTTTGTTAAGTTTCAAACTTTTTTTATTATATATAGCAGATTTATGTTATCTATCGGTAATACTGGAAAATAATCTATCTTGTTTCTTTTTTTTTTTAATTTAACATTTCATATCGGTCCTATTTATTCAACGATATCGATTGATGTCGTGGGAATCAATTTAAAACATTGTATAATTATTTACAGAAATAAATATAGGTATTTTGTACGAAATTAATTAAAGAATTAACTAAAGCTCAAGTAGCAAATCGCGTGTGTCAGGAAACAGAAATAAAAAGATACAATTTGTTTTAAATTAATTTCTAAAAATTCAAGAACATAAGATTCGTAAATTAAATAAATGTACACATAGGTTGTAAGTTGAGTTTAGGCAAAGGTAGAATAATAAAAAGTTTATAAAATTAAAATTTATACAGGATACATCAAGATATGCGAACAAAGTAATAATTGCTATTACCGAAGAAGTCACTCGATGCTACAGTTGTATTATTTCGAATGAAATAATACATTTCTGTCAAAAAGTTACTCGCGTTTGATTATTTTTAAAATATTCAGTAACTTTTGAGACAGAATATACACGTATATGTGTATATAACTGACGTGCTTTCGATCAAACAAAATTCAAAAGAGATCGCAGATTGACTATCACAGGAATATACCGCAGTAGATGGATGATCTTATCAGAAGTATGACAATCATATGATACCAATTGCAATGTACGAAACGTTATCATTCCCGCGAACAGTAAAACAATAACTTGCTCGAATCGAGTTCGCAGCGTGTGATGAATTGGATCAAGCTCAGGTTGTATTTTAGGATTTTTCCGAACGTATTTGGACAGTCGTCGTGAAGTTTTTGATTTATAGTTTCGTTCATAAATCATCAGATAGTTTTGAATAAACTGCTTGTTGAGGTAGATTTACAGTGGTGGACAAAAGTAAGTTTAGTCCTCAAATACTCGTAGTATCGTTGGATCATACGTGACTGCAGTAATTTACGTTAGTACAACCAAAATTTAGAATTTAGAAAGAAAAAATATATTTGAAGAACACTTGTATATTATGTATACGTGTATTCCATTTGTAAACTGATTATATTCTTTCGTATCACTTCTTTCTTAAACTTTCTTTCGCACACCATTGTGTATGTACTTTCCCTGTACAAGTTCTACTCTCGTGTTTAAAATTTCGCGTTATGATATCGTTTTGCTAAAGCTTTAAAAGCAACGTTTAAAAATTAGTTAACGCCTTTATACCTAATTCAAACATTAGAAAAACGACTTTTTGATTCCTATAATAGAATAGAATTAACAAGAGCAAATTGATTCTGATCTGGTCAATCTTAGTCTGTGTAAATTTAATCATGACCAAATTTTAAGGCATCATATCCTTTCCACAAAAAAAAAAAAAAAAAAAATACATTACATCACAATTATAAGTCGCATTATGATATCTCCGTTTATAATTCTTGTAATTAATAATGATTGAAAAAAGAAACCTTCTTCAATTCTTTTCAATCTCACGAGAACGCGATTTCCTCTCAAAGAATCGACTATCCACTGTTCCCTAACTGTAAATTGACCGATAAAAATGATGTCCGGTGTCGTGATGGGAACAAATGAAAAATAAGACAGGTATATAAATAAACAACTGCAGGTAGAAGAAAGGAAACGAGAAAGAGAGGACCGATTCGATAGCTTCCTGTCCGCTTTCTCGAGTCACTTTTGTTCGAGGATTTGTCACGTTGACGTACAGAAGCCTCGCCTTCGCCGAAGGCTCTTCTGTTAAGCGTACTAATACTAATAATGTTAAGTTACGATCTAGAGACGAAGATGATGAGAAAGATTAAACGGACGTCACAATGCTGGGAGAAAAGTAGAAGTGGTCCGCGCGATCCATCCGGCTGATACACGTCTAAGAGTCTCGTGAAATGCTAATCATTGTCTTATTTATGCTCATCGAGATGTCTAAACGTTTTTAGAGGCGCCGTTTGTTTTTTAATTGCGCCAATAAACATTTCGAACGTCATATAATCCGATCGTGATCTTCGTACGTTCGGTCACCGATATAAATACGCGCGGTCTCATCCAGGATTCTTGATTCTAAACAACGTTCACGTTAGTTTCAATTTAACCTTCGAAATCGAAAATTTTCACGCACCGTTACGTGATGCAATAATTGATTGTTCAACAATTTGCCGCGATTAACTCGTGCTAATTTCCTAAAAATTTTATAGAATATGGGACAGCAGAGTATGGGAATAATATTCTCAGCTTATGTTATTATTTTAAAAAATTTCGAATTTACTTATGTAAATTTATATTTCTTCAAATATACTTAAAAAAAAAAAAGAATAGAAACTAGGTGAAGAATTATTCTACCGATAGAATATTTTAACAAATATCTCTTGTGCTTTGCGCATTTTGTATATTCCCGTTTACACATTTTTCCGTCATCAAATTCTAAATTGTACGAAAATTCATAGTCTAACAATTATATTATCTAGCCAGTAATTGTCGATTAGTTAGTGAAATGTTACACTTTCAGCATCTTCGAAATTCGAGGGATAGAAACCAAATAGTTTTCAATCATAAATACATTGGAATTGATAGACCGACAAACATGCTACGATGAATCACAACTCGTCTCGGAAATACATGCGAATTATTTACGCTACGAATTTTGCGTGTATGTTAAAATTATGGCTTGCAACAATTGTTCTCAATTGAGCGAGATTAAACTAGATAATATGCGTTATTATACATTCGACGTTCGATTGATGAACGAAACATCAAAATAAAGCACTGATACGCATGGATTTCCCGCAGAGTAAAACGAAATAAAATAAAAACGCACCCGCGGATAAAATGAGTAATATCGCGCGTAATTCACTCGTCATCCCTGTTTTATCGCCGCGATACATCATCATATCAGCGCAGCTTTCAAACTCACCTTTGACGTTTTGTCGATGGAGACGGGCATCAGGCACGATGTGCACAACAACGATGAACGCTTGAAGCATCAGTGGATAATGCATGGTTGCGGTCAGACCGGAAGCGCACCTTGAAACAAGTACACGACGGCCAATACGCGGGCAAGCTTCCGCTCTTTACGTCGTCGCTCTTTGATCTGTAACACATGGGTTATAACGCAAGATATAATATCAAATGTAATAGCAATAATACGTGTCTGAATATCTACATAACACATATGTTGGTTTTTCATTGGAATTCAATGATAATATTCTGTATTGTAGCACAAGATATCATATGTCCTTGGTGCGAGAGGTTTTTTTTTTTTTTAATTGAATTTTTATTGTGTTCTCCGTTTACCTCAAGGATTCGAAAGGAAATACAAAAGACATTTGAATGAAGTAAAGAGACGACAGCAATATCAATTCATGTAAATTTACTAGTATATTTTATATATTGTTATTATTAGAGTATGGATATTTATGCAAATTTATAATTTTGAAGAGATAATTCGAAAAATAGAATCTGGATTAAAAATTGTATTAGCTACTAAGTATTATTATAACGAGTATGATACTGTCGATATTTCACAAAGTTTATTCTATATATTCTTGCATCTTCCGATTTCATATAAATGCATAAAAATCAGCAGTCTGGTCATTATGTTAGTTGCATACATTCTCATAAATAAATAAATAAGTAAATCACTTTTAAACTGTAGATGTTTACACACTTGGGGGAAATTTGGAAATACTAGAAAAAAATCATGTAACACACAAGAATGCGCCAGAATATACGAAACAATCAAAGTAGAGTGTTTGTTGCGACGTTCGTTTGATAAATGCAACAAATTTCTATTTAGATTCAATTTCTTGAATTACGTATGTTCATAAAAATATCAGAATTACGAAAGGAAATTTCCAAGGATTGAAATCATCTGAAATTCTACAGTTTCATGAAATTTCGTAGAATTTAAATACTTATATCTACAGGGTAAATTATTTCTTCGTCCTTCAGTGGGATTAATATCCTGCCATCGGCCGGTAATTTTATTTAATTCGCCAGTTTCTTCAATTTCTGGCTGAACCGAGCCAACGGCTGGAGATTTCCCGGGGAACTAGAATATTGGACGACAAAACGTTTAGGGGCTCGCGTTTAATCCCGACTCGATCCGTAAAGGTATTCGCGCGAATGGTTCAATATCGTAAGGGAAACTGGGTCGACCACTGGATAAACGTTTCCGAACTCTTTCTATTATTATATTTTGTCGACGGCAGTGGGTTCGTTTGCGTTTTACAAAGACGTCCCGTGAAATACCCAAGAAAAGTAATCCCGGGCTCACGAAAACGCGAAAACTCGTACCGAAACGAGGAATTAAAGGTGAATCTCGCTGTCTCGGGTGCGAGAGCAAGTGAGAGCCTGCGGGATGCTTTTGCAGCAGCTTTGGCCTAAGATATGAACCTTGTTACGCGAGATTTTCATGGTCTGACAAGTAACGCCCGGTAGTTATGGTAATCGGATTTCGACGAACCATGCCCAAACCCATGATTGGACTCGACAACCGTACTGACCCTTTCTCACAGTTCCCTTCAACTGAATAGTCGGATTTACCTTGTATTCTGTCTTGCGTGTTTTTCTTTCAGCAATTATGAATTGGAATTTAGTTTTACGGATCAATAATTAGTGATAAAATACGATACGGTATGATCGGCGCCATTTTACGATTTTACAATCTTTAAAATTGATATTTATATTTGTTTGATACTTGCATCAAAATATTAATATCTAACTCATGCTCGCGGTACTTGCACCGATGTCGTTTTCCACATCGGAGAAATAATTCTTAATTCTAAATGCAAAAGAACTCCGCGGTCTTTTGAAATTCTTAAGTGTATCGCGTAATTGAGACTACAAAAGTTGTATAATCTGGAATGAAATCGAAGTTAATACGGTTATCCTGATCAGTCTTTGGAAAAATAATTTGGCACAAATATTCTCCTTCAGCTTTTCTAAAAGCACTTGAAGTGTATAATATTAAACGTGATTCAGAAATCATCTCGATGTGTGAAGTGTTCCCGTCACTTTGTTCAACTCGTATAATTGTACAACACTGTCGTGCAAAAGCATCATTTCTTCCTTTTAATTCGCACGTAAATAAATAAAGATGGTAAGCTACAGAAGGAGCAGTTTCACGAGTGGTTCGGCGAGTGAGTAAAATATAGGGAAATAAACGTTAATTGCCATGTACATACATGGATACACGAGAGGCTCGTTTGTGTCGACAAATATTCCCGAAAGGTTAATTACTGATTTCGTAGAGACAGAGGTAGAGAGTTAATCAACTGACTTTGATTTTCCCAAAACCCTTTCGGTATTCCGCAGCGTTTCGCGACCGTTCTGTGAAAGTTGCTAATTAAAACAAGAGCCGATCGTATGTACGTACGAGTCTCGCTCTAGTGTCCCGCGCTAACTAATTTCTTTGCCAGTGTTAACGGTTTTGTCGCTTCGGATCCGGGAATTCGCCGTTTGCTGATTGCAATTTCGATACTCTAAGAGTTGAAACTCTCGAATACAATTGTTAAAATAAAAAATTCGAACAAATCTCGAATACTATGCGTTTTCGAATGATTTTGACGCCCAATTGCGAATAATCGTACACTATTTTTCTGTACTAGATAATCCATATACTCCTTAGAACCATAAAATCGTAGCAGAACTTTCGCTTGTATTGAAAATTATTAATTGTAAAATCTTTTGAAATTAATAAAGATTAATTAATGTAAAATATTCTTTTTCACTGTCACTGATATAACAAGAAATGTATGCAATATTTAATAGATTAGTCTTTTATACGCTTCTGCATATTATTGTATGTTATTATTATTATACGAACGCGTATATGACTTACGAGTTTCTGAAAAAGACAATAATTCCCATAACGTGGTAATAGGATGTTATAGTTATAGTTACACGAACCAATAATTATCGATCGAGTTCATGAAGTTTTGTTTCGTTCGATCGGAATTTAATCAATAAGCGGTATTGTTCCACCGTGATAGAAACTTTCCTCCGAAGTCTATTCAGCGTTTAAAGCGTTTAAACACGAACAACCGTTTCGTTCGAATCGGATACGATCGTGGAATATTTATAAGAGAGGCACGAGTTTAAAGGGTTCCCGGTCGTTCGAATTAAGTTGTCAGGCGTATAATACGCCACACAAGACGAACACATCGTGAAGATTAACGACGCGGACGTCGCTCGAACTCGATGAGAAATCTTTTTTCCATCTTCTCGTGTTTTTGTACTTGCGTCGTGTGCTATCAACAAGCGATTTTCGCAGTCATGTACTTATGCTTCACGATCTTTTCGATTGGATGTATTACATGTTTTTTTCACTTAATTTTAAAATATAAAAGAGAAGAAATTTGTTATTTCTCTTTTTTTGAGTCAACAATGAAATTATGCAAGATTTATCGAAAGATACTTAGGTGATAAGGATTTAAATGATTATTAGATTGTGAATTTTTGTACAAATTTATGTTTTTGAGAGTATAATTAAATAAATAGGCTCTCGATGGAAAATTGCTTTTATAAATTAAAATGCTCGTAGAAAGCATAGTATTTCTTTTTATATTATGTATATTCTCTGGAATTTCGAAATATTAAACGTCCTATATAATGTCTAATAACAACGAATTACTCATTTTAAAAATTAAAAAACTAACTAGAAATTTGCATCATTAGATATTATAACAAGCACTCTACTTTTATCATTTTGTTTACTTTTACATGTTACATACATCGAATGCACTTCTGTATCTCTAGATCGATTATGGCCACAATTGATCACATTAAAACGAAACAGGAGATGTAATAATTTTTTCGAAATAATAAAGTATGACGATGACGTAACGGAAAGCAAATAAAATAATATTTGCAAAATATGCTTGACGTCACACTGTTAGTAAACATAAATATAACTTTGGAAAATACAATTTTCTACATTTCGATTGATTTTTTTTTTTTGTTTTATTTAAAACGTGTTATCTGCGAAATATCGCGGAATAATAAATCACGAAGACACGAAAGCGAAACGAAAACTGTTCGATCATAGATAATTTCTATTTCTCAACTCTTTCGTTCAATTATCGATACGTTATCGGTTCTGCCTGCGGCAAAATCCAATTGATTTTCCGCATCATCGAACAATTGCCAAATGAACATTTTGGGCAGCATAAATTGCATATACAATAGAAACGTTAGAACGATTCGGCCAATCATTAAATTTCATTGTGCCCCGTCGAAAATATGGCTTTGATCACGAATATGTTATTGTATGGATTTTTACACATTCGTAGAAAATTAGAAAGCATGAAAATGGACGAAATGTTCAAAGTATATTATAGTATATATAATATACGAAATATTCGTAGTATATTCAAAACAGAGAATCTGTTATAATCCTTAGTAGATAAAACGAATCTCTATCTAAATTTCCATTCTTTTTTTCATAAATATATATAGATATATGTTGATTAAATCATTTTCTCAACGATTTACATAACAAAACTACAAGTGACCTTTAAAGTTTCGAAAATTCAAAGTACTCCATTATTACGTTTGGAAATATGAACTTCTTAATTAAGAGTTTCATTACGTGAATACACGTACAATTTTCGAGAAAAGAAATAACACACTTTCATAAAATAATAAATATGACAAACAATAGTAATGATTCAACATGTGAAATTAATAAATTACTTAACAAATTGATAATGCTAAATAGAATATTTACTAATACTCCGTAGAACGTTTTGCATCTATCTAAGTTGTTATTTCGGTGATATTTCCGATGGCTGAAGAATTATTCAAGATTATTCATAAAATTTTTCTAAAATGGTAACGATAAGAATCGTTCTGAAGATTTTAACTCTAATTTCTCCAAATAACCGTTAAATTCGTATTCCTCGCGCGAAATACAGAGTTTTTATAGAAATATCGATTACTAGAATCATAATTTTACTAATACTCTCTGAACTACTACCATCGCTAACACTTTTAAACGATATCCAACACAATTCGAACTTTTTAACAATAGATTAGATAGCAAAAACTCGGACATATGTGCACGGTCAAACGGAAGTAACAATGGCATTGACGATAAGATTCGACTTGTTTCAGAATCTATTCGGAAAAGAGGCACGTGGGCAGTCGACGGTAGAGGCCCACGACAACACGAGGAAATGATCGACAAAGTGAGAGGTACCGGAAATGTATTCGAATGAATGCGTGGGCGAACGCGTGTGAAAATGCGGATAAGAGGTACGAGAAGAAAAGAATAAAGGGAATTGAGACAAAGAATAAACAAAGTAACGAACGAACTCGTTCGAATGGGATATACTCCTACGAATATATATGTATATCGCTTGTCTCCGACTAATTCGCCGATATTAATGACAGTTAATTGACAGTTAATTGACAGGTTGCTGGCAGCGTTCGAATTATTTCGGGACGACAACCGAACGACTGTCTCGATCGTTGTGCAAGCCAATCATACACGACAGAAATTGTTTGTACTCGCATTAAATGCTCTATTGTTTTGGTGTCGCGAGCTTCAAAACATTTATAACACGTAATAACAATAAGTAATAAGTAATTTTCAAAATGTTGCCGTAACATGAAAATATTCTTTTCCCTCAGAAAAACGCTCGAAAAAGTAAAGGATGACGTGAAAAATGAAGAACGAACTCTGTCTCTGTTCCACCAGATTCAACACCACCATTATACTTATTATAATAATTATTTTTCATTTCTTATTATAATAATTATTATTCACAAGAAATATCGATTCTTTCTTTGTTCCGAGTTAATCTCTTTGGAAACGCATCTCTCTCGGCTGAAACTGATTTGCATTCGCCGACGTCGGACGTTTCACGTCATTTCTGCGGGCATAATAAAGATGCCCGAGGAAGATGAACGCTGAAGTTTAATTAATATCGATGAAACGTAAGAAGAGAACGCACGAGTCTCAGAGAGACGCTCCTCCGGGCAATGATAATGAAGCCACTTCGTGTCAGACTACAATCGCGGTGCCGTACTTTATAATCCCCCTTTCAGCAGGGCTTGATCAACTTATCCCTACGCGACCATCCTTCTTTGCCTCTTTTTATCCGAATTCTCCTCGTAATAGCTCTCGTTTCTCATCCTCTCGATTTTCCTCCTTTACATCGTTGCCCTCTGCTACTTTACTTATTTGTTTCGTCGCCGGATGCCGTCTTTGAGAGGGATTTCAGACACTGAATCGCTTCGAATCTGTACATAATTCATAGCTAAACCTTCAATCAGTAGTACCTCATCGGAAACATAAATTATTTAATTTTCAAATCTTTTATTTTATTTAATCATGTTAGTAATTTTCTCTTACGATTTAATTTTACTACTGTCACAGAGAACGTAAAATACGAAATAAAATCAAATATCCTAAATTTTAGTAATTTGCTATTGCAATGTTATTCGAGGGTCTAAATTCTTCAAAGTTTCGACACGTTTCGAGAGCTAATAGTTCCTAAGTCTTGAGAGTCTCGGAAGCCTTGAAAATCTTGAGAGTTACAACAGGATTTGATCAATACTCAAACGTAGACTAAAATAAATGTATATAAAATATACATAAAATATACGCAAGATACAAAAAAAAATTCGGAAAATTTAAGTTATCATAAATATATTTATTTATGCCATTCGTATTACGAATGTTAAAATACATATATCACATACACTGATATCGTAAATCTGTGGACTTTCTTCAATATTTTCTGTCAACGATATTGGTTGAATCAAAGTAATTGAAAAGCTTGTAAGATATCGGACAATCATCGACCTATCTACTCTCAAGAGTTTCAAGACATCCAAGATGATCGAGGATGTTCAACACTTTCAAGACTTGTAAAGAGTTTTAAAACTTTCAAAAGTTTCAAGTTTCGAATCGTGTTCGAATCTGTCGTGAAATATCAATTTAAAGGGATTCGAAATCCCTCAGATCCTATTGTTATTTGTCTATCCGTGACGAAAAGATTTCCGAAAGAAATTTCCAAATTAGCTAATTTACGCATCATTAGCTCATATTATATTACATTCAGGCTATATTCGACAATATCCGACAGTTTATGCATGATTTATATGACGGAGATATGAAACGACGAAATAAACCTTCAATCGACAACCACGAACCGAAAAAGAGTTGCCGCGTCCAACAAATCGTAATTCACACCTACTCGAAAGTGATGCAAAGTGAAATTTATTTATTTATTTTTTTTATACGTCTTGACAGTGAATATATTAAAATCTTCGAAAAAAAAAACATGTACATATAAGACTATGAGTAGAAACTGAATGAAATGAAAATCAAAACGGAATAGAAGCTATTATAAGATATATATAATAGCTTTATATATTATATATATAGCGAATAATGAACGAATGGAAGTTTGTCTATATTTAGGTAATTTTTCTTCGAGTATATTTTTTCTTTGAAAACATAAAAGAAAGGGCACATACAATATTCTTAAAAGTGATGTAAGGAACTGGTAAAGATAGTGAAAATAATTTGAATATACTAAATTTACCTGTAGCTTTTAAAAGCTTGCAATAAAGACTAATTTTCTGCCGACCTTTCTAATGAAAAAATTTTCAGATAATTATATAAGCTGTAAAAAGAAATTTTAACTGAATCTCCTTCATTTCTCATAACTTCGAGTGCAACGAGATGGTCTCATCCAAAGTAAATTCTTTCAAAAGTTCTCGTCTCTCTGCCATTAATTTTGGAGCCGCTTTAATAATATACTAATGACTGAAAAATGAGAGAATTTTCAAGAAAAATTATTTTCGATACGATACGTCGGGCACTGGAAGTTTTTATTAAAAATTCAAGGGAACATCAAGGGAAGTTTGATTTAAATTACTCTTTTGAAATTAAACAATTCACATAAGTTAATTTAAATCTTTTAATAACAGTGCAATTAAAAAGTAATAAATTTGTCGCAATAAAAGCTATACTTGTGCAAATATATTCAAATTATTTTCACTGTCTCACTTATTCCCTACAATACTTTTAAGAATATTATATTGCATACATTTCTAATACATTTATGTTTTTAATAAATGAATACAGTTATATGAATGAAGCTTGTGTTTCGTAAACATCGAAGAAAGGATAGATAGACGAAATGTGAGTCGGCTTTAAGTGTGCATCTCTCTATCGCGAGAGGATCGGAGGCGACCATGTTGTCGGATAAATATATTCATGTGTGATTTATAGGAGGTACGCGGGTACAAAGCGCATGCATCGGTCGAGGCGCCGCTACCACGCCACGATTCATTGTTTTCCGAGTGATGGATCGAAGTGGAACAGAAAGGTTATTTACGTTTTCAAATTAATCACGCTCGTTCGATGGACTGCCGCAACGCCCCTTTCCTTCAGGGACGCGCCCTTCTAACAGCTTCCGCAAAGTCTAACACGAACTCAATCCTCTGTAACATCGTGTAACGTGAAAGTTACATATTCATGCATTTATACAGTCAATCGTAGAAATTTACATACAGTTGTTTACGAAAGTATTCGAACACTTACAGGATGTACGAAAGTATTCGAACACTTACAGGATGTACGAAAGTATTCGAACACTTCTTCATGAATGTACGCGAGGTGCGAGTGAAAGGATTTTTCGTAAACAGATAAGGGAGAAATATTGGAGCAAAATTTTTTTTACGAGGCTCAGTTCACGAGAAAATTGAAATCGAAAACCGATCAAATTTTACAATGTTACATATGTACATATAAGGCAAGTATTTAAATATTTGATATTTGCAGATGTACGTGCATATAGATTTTCGCGACTCTATATTTTTAAAAATATTTAATGCTTTCATTATTACATTTTATCAATGCACTATTGCAAAAAATATTAAATGATTTATTTGTAACAATCATTAGCTCTCAGATTTTAAATTTGAGTAAATAGTCACAATTAACTAATAGTCTTTTCCACTCGGAAAAACGAAATTCTAGTAATAGAAAATTAACGAATTTTTGTAGAATGTTGTTAAAAACAAAACGCTTCAACAACTTTGCACCGTGTACGTAAACATTCGTGATTCACGATGAATAATCCGGTGACAATTAACGCGGTTATTTCAAAATCGAAAACTCAGAACAAGTACCTACTTTAGCACAGAAGCGTTCCATATGGAATTTTATTTCGGTGAATTTATTTATACGCGTAGCTCGGTTGATCACCTATTAAGATATAACTAATAAGCGAATTTCGCGTGTGTAATTTATGCGATGTTCATCGTGCGTACGTAAACAATTATTACAACCTGTAAACGCGTTAACATAAATCAAATGAATCTGCATGTCGTTTGTTCTTTACGCTCTTTGCATAGAGTATCTGTTACAACGAAACAAATTTCAAATTCAACACGCAAGTTTGAGAATACACTGTGGCTTGTGAAAGTATTCGTATACTTACTATAGAAGAACTTTTATTTATTGCATGTCAGATAAAAAGTATTACCATTACTTGCCATTATATTGGCAAAATTTAAAAATAATCTGAAAATCTGTGTAAAAATTGCAATCATTAGACATTAAATATGTTTTCATCGAATACCGAAGCTTATTGATATAACGGATTCTAACTGTTTTTATATTTTGATGATATGATTGATGAATCGTGTTAAATATTCAGTGAAATTTTCAAATTTGGTAACGATTTTTAGATTTGTTTCATATTTGATCAATATAATCACGATAGTCGGATTTCGTTGCAATATCAATGCAATGTGAAAATGTTTAACGTAACGTACAAATTCACAAGAAAATTCCTACAATTATTCAAATACTCTCATGTAATCCGAAAAGCACTTGTCCTTCGCTTTACCTGTTTAACCGAAGAAAACTAAGAATCCCGCAGAAAACAGAAGTGTCTGTAATGAACGTTAATCACGCAATTTTACGGAGAGATCGCCTCAACCACTTTGAAGAAGTGGTATAAACGGATATAAGGGAAATTATCCACTTTAAAGGATATAAACTCCGCAGGTTCATAGAAGAAAATAAGTCGAAGATTAAGTTGTTTCGATTTTCCTGGCTGGAAGAGAGTTTTAATTTAAGAGCGCGATCGATAAAAAATACTGTACGAAGGTGGTTTGCACTTTGTTACAAAACTTCGTAGATTAGAGTCCGGTTTGTTTGTTCCAGCAAA